CGCCGCCACCGCCACCCAGTCCCAGAGCGCCGCGGACAGCGGCCGGGCGATGACACTGCTCCAATCGTTACCCGTACTGAGTGTTATGTGTATGCACTCTGCCCCCTATGCATTCGCATCGTGATATGCATCCTTACCGATCCATAACCCTAGAGCGCGTATACATTTACGTATTTGCAAAATACTCTACGTCGCCCTCTCCCACCCTCGGCCTCGCGGTGCACCCTGCTTGGCTAGTGCCATTTCACTCTGACACGCTATTTTCTTGAAAAAACGTCTCCAACGGAGCTCCGTGTAGCGTGTTGCTCCCAGCGCCCTCCCCCGCGCTCCCTGCGGCCATGGCCGATACTACTAGTATGAGCGGTCATCTGGCTACCGCGAGAGCGACCCAACTCGTCGACATCGTCCGATGATGGTGCCGCAAAGTCAGCCTTCGGAGGCTATCGTGGGGTCGAGCCGGCAGTAGCCGTGACATGTGGTTCCACCACCCCTCGTAGGCTTTGCCTCTGACCGCCACCGTTCCCAGGCTGCCTAATGGGACGGAAAGGAAGGCTGGGAGAGCGTATAGAAGCGTGCCCGACCTCGTCGTGGCAACCTGCACGGCAGCGCTGGCAGGCGCGATGAGCGTCGTGCCACTTGACCGGAGACGGGTCGCAGGCGTCGTACCGAGCGCGTCAAGTCCGTGTACTGATGTGATCTGCACGGGTGAGTCACGTCGGCATCAAAGGAGCGACATGCGACCTGTCAGAGCTTGATCTCCGATCTCAGCGGCGTCGAGTCGTCTCCGGCGGCGACAATTTGGTACATCTCCAGGACGCGCAGAGGCAGCTGCTCGATCCCGCCGAGTGGACGGGGGCACTCCGCGCCACCTGCCGAGTGCCCCCCGTCCACTCGGCAGGGTCGCAGCTTCCTCTGGAAGGCACCGAGAGGTACCAAATGGCGCAAATGGTCAAATCAAGGTTTTGTAACGCGATCTGTGCCCCAGAGTGAATTGGCACTAGCCCTGTAGCCTGTTACTGGTGACCATAGAGAGCATAGTAGTGTCTGTCTTGTTTGCGAGATCTTCCAACGATAAAGTCTCGACAATCACTAAGCTGCTTATGTGGCACCGCAGAGGCTCCCTTGGGGATGCCTGAGGCCACCCCAACCACTCACTAAGCCGTGTGACCAGGTAAGCCGCTTGCGGTCTTCACGATCTAGGGGGTGGCGCTCTGGGCCTCTGCGCTCTGGCCCGGCTCGCCACCTGCCTTGCGCTTCCTGAGCTTCACGAAGGCGCTCCGGCCAGCGTCGTCGCCGATGTAACTTCTGCCGGCGTCGGTGATGTCTGCGCGGCAGCCACGGCGTCGAAACAGCTTCTTGAGAGCATGCAGCGGCGTCGAGTGCATCTGCATGCCGCCCTGGCGAATCGACGCGCCCATGTCGCA